CATATCTTATTTCTTGAATAAATGATCTTCAGATGAGATGGCGATTTCTCGTCCTCGCTTTGTTGTTCTGCGTCGGTGGAGCGCTTTCCCGTAGAAAAACAAGCCTCGCCGAACAAGCATTTGAGAATCGCGAAGGGCTCAACTGGGCTCGATCGGACGAGGATGATGAAGTGCAAGGGTGAGCATGTCCGTGTAGTTCACTATTGACTAAACGATTAAGATTGCGAATTACGACACCAGGCGTTGATAAGTTCCTTTCTGGGGCGCGCCACGTGTTATACTTCAACTCAGAATCGTAACGGCACCTGAATGTGATTCTTCTCATGCATACAACAAAGTACGAAGGCCAGCCGATGCAGATGTCACTGGCTTCATAAAGGATAAGGATGAGGATAAATCATCTTGCCGTATCGCAGTGGCTTTTGGCGATGTGGCCTATACAATGACTTGCGGGGGCCAGCCGATGTACAAGTCAGTGTTTTTATCCTCCCAGACAAGTCTGGTACCAATTAACCGACCCCGGAGGGATGGAAGGCTTGGTTGGCCCGGGCGACTCACGACCCAGGATTTGATCCCCGGACCGCTCGCGTGGTAAGCGTGCCACTTGCACTACACCACTTCTGATGAGCTTGGATACCCAAACAAATTTGGTACCATTCATCAGCGTTGGGTTAGAGGGATGGTCAAAAGTGCGGCTTGGTCAGAGATTTGACGCGCAGAATGTGGGACTGGTAAGCGGCGCCAGTTCCCACAACCTTTGAAAGCAACGGAAACGAGAATCGATGGACACTATGGAGCCTCCTATCCTGAACGCCGACGAAGTCTCTCATTCTTAAAAGATAGTTTGCTTATTGGTAAAGCTTCGAGCCATTTTCCGCAAAAGTAAATACTTAAGTTTGATTTGAAGAGGAGGAACACCTGGAGACAGAGTCAGTGAAGCACTCATTGAGCCTCTTGATTGGAAGGGGTTTTCGAATGACTGCTGGGAACCGCTGGCATAGTAGAAACTTTCACCGCATAGACTCGATCTCCGCCTCTCAAAAAATGGACACTCCTTAGCCCTATTTGGCCATCTCACCCAGCAAATTGGTTGCAAGACGCCAACCTGATAGCCTATCCTTCACCCTACCCAAGCTCGGTTGAAAAAAGGATTTGGTTATGTGATATTCGTAAAGCCTAACATATAGCGTTGTTCTTTAGAAAGCGGACGCAACAGAAGGAGACGTGAGGTCAACGACGAGCTCGATGTCAAGCGATGTGACCATGTTCAGGACTAGACGCATCCTCTACCAGCTCAGCTACGGATCGACCTCAATGGGAAGTCAGAGGCGTCGACAACAAATGTGTCACAAGCACTCACAGAGCTGACGAGCACAAAACATCATGAAGCTGCAGCTGGACGAGAAGTGAAAAGGATGTGTAGGGAATTTAGGGGTGTCTCATTTGGAAGAGTTGATTACATTTGTTTTCAAGGTTTTCTAAACATATTCTTCAGCGATAAACTCACTCTTGCTGGGTAACTTCGATATATCCAATCTCACGAAGAAAGTAGAAGAGGAGTTCTCTTCTTCACTGGATGACGCCCTAAACAGGTATCGCTTCAGTCGCTTCATTCAATTACTTAAATACATAGTAATCTTCAAAGTTATTTCATTTTCTTACCCCTTCTCCGCGAGTGTGGCCATTGTAAAGTGACCATATCCCTAGCGCCGAACCTCCTGACTATGGTGTCGTCATGGCGATGGCCAACCGCTTACTTTCAGGATACGCCGCGCGCTCTACTTCTATTTGAGGTTGTACTGGCACTAGAATGAACCTTTCGCCACATAATGATTTGTGGAAGCTAATCGCAGTACATACCGGTGCTTTTTCCTCCTATGCAGTTTCCTACTTGAGTGCTCCACCAAAAATATTGAGGCGGTAAAGGCGAGGCGGCTAGCGAAGATCCACCTTGGACAAAATGTTTCCGAGTGTGAAGCATAGGCTATTTTCAACGTGAAGGTGACTGGAGGCGTATATTCCTCTGTCTTATGATTAGCTTCACGGACAACTTCAGGGGCCGAGCCCATTGTATAGCTACCACTGGTCCACTGCCTTCTACCTTCAGCAGCGAAAGCTTCCTTTTTGGCTGGGCCAGATCTTTAAGAAGTTCACATGAACTCCATTTATTCAGCGTTGACTGTAAGAAATTTCAAAACGATTTCATTTGCAAGAACAGTGCTGTGGATCGACGCCAGCTATAAGGCTGAAGATTTCAAGCTTAACGTCTCTGCGTTGCCTGAATGTCAAGCGTGGCAAAAATATTGGAGCATTAATGGCACGATGGAAGAAGAAAAGGTCAGACTTCGAATATCAACTTTTTTCTTTCTATAAAATTTCTCGAAGATTCTAGAGCAGTAATTCATCAGCGGAAGAAACAGTAACCTTGAATGGACTTGAGAGTGAGCTGAAGGAAGTCGAGTTGATAGATAACAAGAAAAGGCTCAAGAAAATCGGACTGAACGTGGAGCTGCTGGAGGCATTCAAGGTGCGTGCAGATTACGGTAAAAGGTCGAAGGTGGCGGTTCTCTATAAGACTTTTTTTCTCGATTTTTGACTTTTTGGTAAACCAAATAACAGAAAAGTATGGAACCCGTAATAACAGGAACTTCGTATAATGTATGCTATACGAAGTTATTACGCTCGAGCCGAGATGAAGTTTTAGGCAGTGGGCTTGCTTTACAAGGAAATCTGCAGGGATCATGGAAGAGTGCTTTGGTATCGTGACACGAATGACGCTAAGAAACTTGGGATCACTGAGGCTTCACCGATCTGTGAGCCATTTAAGGTGAATTTGGTTTTATATTTCGTTTTCTTCATAGAAGTCATCTTCTACAGAAGACGTCAGGGGTGAAATTGCAACAGGGGATGCTCCTTTCTCGTCTACTTCGTCCCCTTTCTGTATTTGCAGGAGGTCATCGCGGTCGTTCAAGGAAGACTACACTCGGATTGTGAAAAGCTCGCGTCACTTTCGAAGAAGTTGAACGAGCTGATCCAAAACTTCACTCTGGGCATCGTGCCGACTTCTGAGGAGCCTTCTGACAGAGAGCTGGTTCTACGGATGACGAAATGGTGATCACCACTGCTAAGGACGAACATCCTGAAGGACACTACCGCCTCTCTCACCACACCAAGAACAGCAACGTAAAACGACCGTTGAAGGATGGAACCCGTCGATTCCTCCTTCAACACGTGATTCACTCGGAATGCAGTCAGTGAGGCGATCGCCTGATGCGCAAGGTTGGTAGTGGCTTCACATGAAGGTGTAGATCCTGAATTTCAAGGTTGTATCAATTTTTGTGATTTTACTTGGATTAACTGTGTTTCGTTGATTTCTTGGATCTTACGAACAAGAACAAACCCTGTCTTCCCCTCTTTATTTCTTAATGAGGTCTAATTATCGATTGAAGAACTGCTAAAAGTTATGTCATATTTAAGTAGTATTCACGCTTTCATGAGTTAATTCACACCTTCATTTTTTCAGGTCTAGAGCAAAAAGATGACAGTGCAGGTTAGTGCTCGATTTTCATTAGTTCTATTTCCAAAGGTTACAAAGTAGATGCCTTCTGGAAATTATTGAGTTTTGGGTCTTCTGATCGTTAATTCTCACTGCATCAATCAAGCAATCAATCAATCAATTGCCAATTTTGCCAGTAAGTCGCGAGTTGCGAGCGGTCGCCGTCGCCGCCAAAAACAGTCGACACCTAAGGCCGATGTCATAGTTTGCGAATCGAGCGATTCGCTAGCGAATCGCTCGATCCGAGCGTTGCGCCAGCGAATCGAACGTTGCACCAGCGAATCGAACTTTGCGCCAGCGAGTCGAACGATGTACCAGCGAGTCGAACTAGGTACCAGCGACTCAATAGTGGCGGGACCCAACGTTTAAAAGGAAGCCCGCCACTTTCAAACAGCGTCCACTGTCACGTGACACTGTTTGAAAGTGGCGGGCTTCCTTTAAACGTTGGGTCCCGCCACTATTGAGTCGCTGGTACCTAGTTCGACTCGCTGGTACATCGTTCGACTCGCTGGCGCAAAGTTCGATTCGCTGGTGCAACGTTCGATTCGCTGGCGCAACGCTCGGATCGAGCGATTCGCAAACTATGACGATTCGCCTAAAATGTATGCTATACGACATCGCAAGGTAGGCAGAGTGTGAAGCTCTGTAGGAATAACCAATGAAAATTAGGCATTTAGTGCGGACACTGCTACAACTTTTGAATGCAGCCAATGCGGTGAGTGAGTGAACTCATGCAGCATTGACGGTAAGTGATGAAGTGAACTCTAGCGATACGATTTGCGTGTCTGGAATTATTACATTCACAGCTTTTTCGTGTAATATAAAAATCTAAGTCATCAATCAAATACAAATTAGCTGCGAAGCATAGCCAAGTACAACATAGTGTTTCAGTCTCCAGACATGCCTTGATTCCAATAGCCGTCCCGGGTGTGCTGGAAGCCGTGAGAGGAGCAATTGCGATTCAAGTTTAAACCCATGAAAATCTTATGCAGGCTGCTACCCGGGCTCTGATAGCGAGCACATCCTGCTAGTAGGTGCCAGTGGGGGTGCTGATGCTGAGTATACGAAGTTCAAATAATGTAGGCTGTTTTCAGATACCGCTTTTCTTTTGGTAGAGAATGCCGATCATAAACTGGCTGAGGTGGGCAATTGGAGAGTGCATGTGGATCAGCCAATTATTGATCCTATACGTCGATATTTTTTTCAAAGTTCCACTAGTGGATATGAGGATAATCGCTTGGGGAGATTACGACAGGGACTATGATGATCGTTCGTGAGTTCATTCTCCTTTTCTTAAGCAATATCTCATGACCTTCCACTACTGTTGAAGTAGTCTAGTACAGTAATCCAGAATACTCTTTATAGCCATCGACGTGGAGTTGGCACTGGTCGAAACAAGCGTGCCGAACCTTCGGAAGAAGAGGAAAAGGAGAAGATCGAGCAACGCGATGATGATGACGATGAATGGCTTTTCAATGTAGGCATTCGTGAATTGTTAACCCTTAATTTTATGACGAGCTTAACACATTAAACAGGGAAACGACCCTTTTCTGGAACAAATAGAGATTGATTGAGCCGCTGTCTAGTCGTTCCTTCAGTTAGGATATGCCAAGCGAACTCTTTGACCAAAGAGATGTAGGGAAACGAAAATAAAGCGTTCGATGACGGAACTTTGACACTTTCAGGTGAACCCTTCAACCGAACATCCAGATGTGGAAGATATGCTGGAAAGCGACGGGAGCGTCAAGGAGAACGCTACACATTTCAAATGGGTCAAAATCGAGCTAAACGAGGAAGATCAGTACGTCATTTAAATTTACTTCTCGAGTTTCATTATTAAGGTGTGGTGGTCCAGCTTCATTTGAATCAAGATGACCTGCTTTGAGGTCGTGAAGGGTTATTGTAGGGGTTTCTTTGATGCTGAAGCGGAGGTGAGGCCAGAAAAAAACCAAGGGGCTGTACACTTCGTTTCTCTGGTCGATAAGATGCTTGTCCAAAGAAACATCCATTTTTTGAAGTTTTTCTCCAGCCTGCGGTCTTCCAAGAACTTGTTCCCTACCTACCGTCAGCGTCTTGGAAGAATCCTTTTCGAGCCGTTACCACACCGGATGTAAACCTATGTTCAGTCGTGCTTATTGATTTCACGCGCGCGGGTCGTTCATGTGAAAGCTTTGTGCTGACCGTCAAATGTCAAAATGCCGACGAGAAAGCACATGTGGAGATGCTTTTACCATGAATTTGCTCTGTTCTGGACAAGGCCTGCCATAAACCTTATGTTAATTATATTGACGTTGCTGCTTATCAAAAGTATTTACACGTTCTGCAGCAAAACATACAGTGAGTCCCTGAGACTGTATTGTGTTTATCTATTGGGAAGGGCACAACCTCTTCATGAATTAGAATTCTCCTTAACCTTCGTGACACTAATTTTATAGACCTCCAGCTGCTGATTTCGTCAAAGGAGGCTATTGATGGGCTGCAACTGAAAGTTCCAGCTGATGCGCTACAGAGGTTTGAAAAGGTTCGCGTTTGCCGATTCACTTATCTTTCCTCAGCGTCCCATTCACAGCTGCTGGCTGACGCAATCTCGCATTAGAAGATTAGCTATCTGTATAAATAATAGGTACAGGTTGAGGCGTCCAGCATGAGCCAAAAATCCTTTCCTGGAATGCGCCTCGCCTTGGCTTCCATTCGGGATTGTTAGGGGCACTTGGGTGAGACTGGTAAGCATGCGATGTCTTTTGGGGCTGCGTTGCCCAAAGCCTCTGTTTGTTTTTCAAAGAATTGTGCCGCGAATACCGACTCCAAATGGATAAAAGGCTTGGATACCTTGGTAAAAAGTCGATACGGACTGTGCGCTTGGTACTAGGCGACATTTACCAGTACCTCACTCGATAAGATCAGAAGAAATATTTTATTACGATCTTAACTCTTTATAAGTTGTCTCTTCCTATGCGTTATAATCCTTGATTATTTGCTAATTTTTTAAACTCTCCATCAGGCTGTCATTAGTTATTTGAAGGTTGGCCTATATCTACCTGGAATTTGCGCTGATTACGTCCCAAAAGCTATCGACGAATTTGACAGTAGCGATTTCGAAGGTTCGTTACTTACTATATTAGCCATTTTTGGAGGTAACAACATTGTGTATACAAAACAGGTAGGAAATGGCTCAGCTTACCGCGAGTTCAGCTTGCAAATGGGGAAGTGGGGCCTGCCTTGTTGCAGTATAGAGACGATGGTCCATCGGTTTGAACATGTCGGCTCTGGAAGCTGCCGGAGTGAATCTGACCGCACTCGCTGAGAAGTTGCGAAATGACACCGAGGTGGACGACATCCTCAGCAGAACAAACGCCTCTATCAAGTTGGTACTTTTTTTTGCGTTAAGTAATTTTTTTGAGGGATTCTCCCACCAGGTCAATATTACGCTGCCAGGTTCTCCAACCCTGTTTCCGTTCCTGTCCGGCTTAAAGGAATCTTCACGGAAAAAGCTCCGCCCTCATTACCACAGAAAACGATACCTTAAAGGAATCTTCCACGGAAAGAGTGATCATTTTGTCTTGTGTGTAGGATTAGTATTATCGAAACTAACGCTTATGTTCCGTTCTTTTTGCTATGCTCATGAGGCTAGGGGCCTAAGGGGTATCGTTTTTCTGTGGTAATGGAGGCGGAGCTTTTTCCGCGGAAGATTCCTTTAAAAGGACGAATTCACGATCAGAGGGAAAATCGAATTAGGAAGAATTCACCTGGTTGAGGGACCCGCGGAGCTCCTAAGTGTGCGAACTGAAGCACAATTTGCACAGGAGGAGTTGACCTCGTTGACCTATTAAGGTTTAATCCCGCCGCGGCTGGTCAGTGCACGCCCACCGATCATCTGATCACTCGCCGCAGGTCTATACGTGGTGAGTGATTAGATAGGTGAGAGAGCGTAGTGTTGAAGAGGGCACAGCGATGATAGTCGCATCAATGCTCAAATCAACGGGCAAGGAAGGGGTCCCATTTCTCGGGTTCTGGGCCGTTTCTCATGGTTTTCCTTCTTTCGTGTACCACTCACCATCGCCTAACTTAATTTGAAATGGGTTGCCTTTCCAGCGTGAATTCGTCCTTAAAATTCCGATCTCAGCGGAGCCTTCGGCTTTTTCGTATGAGGCAGTCGGCCGGTCGGTTGACACCTTTTTCAGGAGAAGCCATGTGACTCACATACGAGTCACGGTGTCCCGTGAAGTGGAAAAGCATAACCATGGTATGGCTCATGTAATGATGCATTAAAAATTCACTATATCACAAAATAACAGCACAAAAACGATATTGCTGCAAGGATGGTTCAAGGTAATTTGGAATTAGAAAGCAAAATTTTTCCCTAACTGTATTCCTAGAACTACTAGTGCTTCCGACTGCCTAGGGGACTAAATTAATTATACTTCTCAGAAGCTGTTAAAAATTTATCGAGACCAAAAATCTACTAGTGTTTGTAGAACGCTGGGCGG